GTGTTACATTATATTTCTGGAAAATTTAAGGGGTAGTTATATAATAATTTTGGACGATCTCGGGCGGTCGGATACTTTGACCGCTACTGTATAAGCGAGACTTAACGAATTGACCAATGCGCTCATAATAAAGGGAGAGGACTGTTATTAAAGTGTATAAACCCCAGATTTACTTATTGTTTACACAAGCACGATTTTTCCATCATTGTTTTTTTTCCATTATCTGTTATTTCATATAAATGTCACCGATCATCATGATGTGACAAAATTAAACCATTTCAGTTAGTGTGATTATGATGTAATATTTTTTACAGAAGGGTGGCCTGATAATTTAATAAAATCATGACGATGGGAATTACTGATAGATTTAAATAAGCCGTAAAATCTATTCCCACCCACTTTTTTTTTCAAATAATTTTTATCTTCCAAATGCTTAACTTTTACCCATTTTTCCCATTTTTTCAAAAACGTACCTGGAGAGAAAATGCGACAAGAAAAATAGATTTAACCATTTGGAAATCTGAAAAGAATGAAGTTCCATATGCACCTTATTATAATAGTAAATTGGGAGAGAAATTTATGAGCTTAGATAAAAATGACGAGATCTATAAATATGTATTAAAAGAGTTTGAAAAATATCCTAGGAATGGTGGGGAATGTTTTGCCGCCGCAATTGCTTATTTTGATTCTCAAGAGTTGATAAAAGAAAATTTCTTTTTTGATAAAAAAGATTTTAAAAATTATGCCATTGCTGAATATTTGGTACAATACTTTCAATATAAAGCTTTTGGTTATAAATATTTTTCTTTACTCGCAAATTATATATACGACAAAGGTTGTTGTTGTGCAAATTATGAAAATACTCAAATTTTGGAAAGAATTCAATCAAAAATCCGAACTTTTACGGGAGACGATTCTATTATAAAATTCTTTAATGAAGAAGAACATAATTACAAATATGATGAGAAATCTTTGCCAGATCAATTTAGTGGAAAAACCGTCTCCACAGATTTAATTCAATTAAAATGTTACTGTTTATTTGCAAAGAATTTTGAAGAGAAAACGGAATTAAGTAACAAAGAAGAGATAATGAATCAAAAGGAAACGATCCAAAAGTTAACTGATGAATTAGAATATGAAAGATCATTAAGACAAAATCAGGAATTAAATTATGAAGAGGTTCATTTGGAAGAATTGATTTGTAAAGCAAAATCCAAGATTCAAAAGGAACATCATGTTTTATTAGAATCTCTTCTTGAAACTCAGGAACAATTAACTCGTCTACAACGATTAGAAGATCTTGATGTACAAACTTTTCAATTGTCTAAACGTCGATTAGAAGATGATAAGCTTGCTTTACGTGATCAGCTCAGTAGAGATGAATTACAAACTCTATGTGAAATGAAAGAAAAATTTACAAAACTGCAGATAAAAATGGAACAAAATTAATTTTTTAAATTTATGTATATGTTATTAAAGAACTTTTATAACTGTTAATATTATTAAAACAATATATCTGTGATATTTTTTTTCCTCGTCCAAGCCTCAAGTAATAACTCTTCACGTGATTTCATTAAATAAATAATTTTTTTTTTTTTCGATTTCACTTTCAATTTACCTTCACTTACCGTTTTAACAACAGTCATATTTTCTTCGATAACTCGAATACGTATCATCAATAATTCTTATATCATACTGTATCTTCAAATTTTCAATTCTAAATTATGTACTATCACGAACGGACATTGTTCGCATTTTTACCTAAAAATAAAATCACTCTCGTTTGTGATCTTTTCTCGACGTTTTGATTATCTTTTTATACCAGGAATATTTTCCACAAAGAGATCACTTATAACCTTTTCTTGAAAGTCCATTAGAAAAAAAGGGCACGTGATTACGATATAGGATATTTTTTAGTCCATTAGCTATATTTACTATTTTTAGTTAACATATTTGAAACCAATGAATTAACTAAGCCTAGCAATAGGTTTGGTGTAGGACGGTAACGGTCTAACCTTTTCTACCTCTATTATATATGTATAATTTATTATCAGGGTATTTATTTGCCAAGTTTTGGACTGAACTGAAAATGAAAAAATAAGATAAAATATTTCCAAGATATTAAAGTTTGTGACACGAAATCTTGTATACCAACAATCACTAAAGTACGACGTGACACAAAATTTAGTAGATATAAATTGTCAAAGTTTCGCTTGATTTTCAATTTACCAAATGCGTAATGATTTCCTATAGCTTGGCAGAGCTATCTACAGATTCCTCTGCGACCAACGATCCTCCTGGTACCCTTATAGAAATCGACGATAGAAATCCGACGATGTCAAGATTTCAACGCGCATTCAAGGATGCTCCAAAGTATTTCAAGGTCACTTTATCAGAAAAACGGGCGACAAAAGTTGATGATAAGTACAAGCTAAGATTGGACGTTTCATATGATGCCTTTGAGATAATCTTAAAGTTTATTCGTGAAGAAATTTTCGAGATTTATTTTTTTATTATCTTTTTTTTTTTATATTAACATGACATTGATAATGATTACCATGATTTTCATGATTTTGAGATTCATAGCGGTAGTAGCGTAACGATCATTTTGAATGATTCGAATATGGATCTTTTGATGGATTGATGTTGGTATCCTACTCCTCCGACCTTTTGAAATCCCCCTCTTATCAGGTTTTCCCGCATAAGTCTGATAGATTATATCACCACAAACGTTTAAAACGAGCGACCTAGGTGGGTCTTCTGTTAAAATAGGCTTATCACATTCTTGACACGCCTCACCATCCTGGATAGTTCCAAATTGGATCAAACAAGGAATTGTGATGAGGATATTATTTCAATAATTTAAAATCTCTTATAGAAATTCCGCTCCTTCAAGACCTCTATTTATATTGTCAAGAAATCTTTGTAGAGAGACCGTCGATTCCCCAGTTTTTCCATCGATTGATGAGGAAATTATTTGAGCGAACATTCCCGGTTTCGTTACTTCAGCTGATAATACATTTGATATGTCTCTGATCGATGCATTGAGGAGGATTGATTTGACACAACGACATAAAGCATAAGGATTATAAGACTTTGAACCTCAAATATGATCATATATTCCTAAGGTAAGACCCTAATGTCTAATTCCACGTCGTATTAATTCATCCGTTGAACCAAAGATCATTAGACTCAATTGGATACGGATTGACAGAAAGGATCCACGGAAGATCCATACACTGTATCAGACACACCATTCCAATTTAGGCACGTGTTTCTCATGAAAGATCAAGCAACTTTCTTTTCAAGATAATCATAAATATTACAACAAATCTTTACCAACGGTCAGATGTCATCACGGACCTTCACTGATGATCATGAAACTTCAAACCGGAAAGTTAATTGGAAAGATATGAGCTACGCTTTAATGATTATAAATCTACATCATAAAGCTTTGTTTTAACTACTTTATTTCATCCGATAACATTTGTAAAAAAATAAAAAAATTTCTAAAATGTTGTGGTTTTGTAAGCTTTTTTTTAAAACGTGACATAAATATTTATATTTTAAACTACACGAGTATCAGGATGTTAATTATTAAAATATTTTGTTTTCTAGTGAAGATAAATATGGAGCATGCTGTTAGGATTTTGCAGATCTTTAGAATTTTTTAATGACGAAATTTTCTCGATTATACTTTCGAGACGGAGTTCACCATGATGGTTAGGTTTTTCAGTAACTCTGAAAATTTCCCATTATCAATTTTGTAATTTCCTTCGGTATTATGGCTGGTTGTTCTTAAAATTCATCTTTTTTAATACGAAAAATATAGATTCATTTCAATCATACTTCGAAAAAAATTATAATATATTTAAACCTCACCTACTGAAGAAATTTTGTACTATTGATTGCGTCATGGATTGATAGAAAAGAAGTTCCATATACTTATTTGAACATGCATTCCAATTTAATATGAATGACCGATCACTTCCTAGTAAATACTATAATCAATCACATTCTATCCACTACCGACCATGAATGATAATGAGGTCATTTGAACCCTAGATACAGTATTTACCGGATGGTATGGATATACTGTATATTAACACGTCAGCAAGTTTTATTTTCTCGAGAAAAGACTAATTTGGAACAGATCATCGATTAAGTCGAGTTAAAGAATTTGATAAAGCCATGATTCTGACGAAGGTACATCCCGATGGCGTAACTGTTGAAATTTGGTAAAGATTTGGACACTCATTATCATCATAGATGTAAGAATAATTATGAATTTGGGAAGATGTAGAAATCTTCCTTCTATCAAAACGTCATCTAAGAAAATGGATTTTATGAACCACCTGAAGGCGCATATAAGGTTGATGTGAGAAATACTCACGGTCACTAGAAAGAAATGATTAGATTTATTTTTGTGCAAATTTTGTAGCTAAGTAATAACCAAAATTTTGGTAATCATAAAAAAAGTAAAATAAGGCGATCTAATTAAATAAAAAAAAAATTAATTCGGTGTAACATAATTTTTCGGATCCTTGTACTGTACTTGAACTTTTCCATTACTCGTTTTCAACCAATATGAATATTATCTATTACAGCATTTTTAAATGTGCTATATTTGTGTATTTAAAAATCTCGTACGTAATGCCGTTATTGTGAAATTAGCATATAAAATGAAATATTCATGAAAATCGGTCTCGTACAACCAAAATCGACTTGTAAAATCAACAATTTTTACAATTTTTGTAGATTTCACTTGGCTAAAAGTGCCTGCTTAAGGAAGAAAATTCACCCGTAACAAAATGACTTAATACATACACGAATAAAATTTAAGATATGGCTATTTTGATAACTGTCCTTAATTGCCAAAAATTATTGTCTGTTGTCCAAAGCATAGCGGAGGACTAGGCAATGTCGTTCGGTACTATAGCATGAAATTTGTGGATTTGTTTATTTACCAAAAATTTTGTGTCATGTATCGAAAATTAACCCAGGTTATTATCGAAATTATGTTCGGACCAGAACGGTTTCCGTTTCCTAGTGTATATATACAATGGATACATAAAGAAAGGTTAATCTTTCAACCGAAGTTTTAAGGCAAGCTTGTAGGAAATTGTTATGTAATTCCTCATTAACAGCGTGAAGTTCTTGAATCTTACTATCCTTATCAGACAGTTGCTGAAATGTTACTGTCGATTGAAGCCGTTCATTTTCTTCTTGAAGGGAACCTATAAAAGATTTGCTTAGTCTATGCGCACTCACAGTCATTCAGCATCTCAAAACGATAACAAGTTTCAACATGAAAACTGTAATTCTGAAACAAGTCCCAACACAATGACCGTAATTCTAAAGCAATTGTAAAATCGCAATTCTAGTGCAGTTTATTTCTAACAAAAATACCTAAAGGATAACTCGCTTTCATTACGGATTCCTTCTCTTCTACGAGTACGTGCTTCCTTTCTCTTTGACCAACCACATCTTTGTTTCTGTTTTCTAGAAAGAAAGAAGAAGAACAGGAAAATTTTTTTGTCAAACAATTTGGAGATAATTGATTGGATAATGATGTAACAGTTTTAGCTTTTTTGTCACGTGAAATACTTTAAAATTATCAAATCATCGTTTCGTTGAGTTATTTTCTTTTATATTTCTTTTGCTAAATTTTTTTTTTATTTAATCAATTTTGTTTGTATTCTTTAATTTAATTATGAAATTACATGTTAAATATTGGTATGTGCAAAAGAGAAAAAAATATATATACGTTGACAACCAATAGTACGATGACGTATTATTTAGTTCAAAAAAATTTATAGAAGACAAGTATGAAAAAGTTCAATTTGTCAATGAAGTCATTATTGCGGCTACGTGTTGTGGAGTCATGGAATAGTTTAAGAACGAGATTATTCTTAAAAGATAGTAGTAAACATGTATAGCTCAGCGTAAGCAGGCAGGACAAAGCTTTTCCAGCGTTTATAACATGAATTTCTACTGCATAATATTTGAATTAATAAAAAAGTAACAAGTTAATCTTTTACAGCTCAAATTTTTGACATGAACAGCATTATAAAACTTGGATTCTACAGTATTTTAAACAAAAATTTTATTTAAATTTCCATTTAGTCAGCAATTGTATAAATATATTCTTTTTCCTTCATTTCTGAAACTTTTCGAATATTATAATCTATTTTTTTTTTTTTTACATCAGATTTCGGATTTTACATTATTTCCTTATCTTAAACGAAAACTATATATATTTTTTTAAGATTATTTAAGAGAAATTTTGAAGAGGATTTATCTGCGAGAAGCTTCAGGAAAAGTGTATGGTTTTTCATATAAATTTATTTAAATACACTTCAAGAAACGTTAATTTAATTTTTTTTTGTTAATCTAAGGTTTGGAGGCAATTTAATATCAAATACGAATGTATTGGTTTAGATGAACCAGATAATGTTTCATTACACTAAGAATTTAGAATTACAGAAATTTATATTATGTTTATCCGATGAAGAAAATGTAACGTAAACAAAACATTCATGTGAAAGAAAAATCATATTGAAAAAAATCATATCCGCCCATTTTTGGAAAGCTGTATTATGTCTAACCCAGCTTCCCAGGTATAGGTGCGTCAATTGACTCATTCCAAAATTGCGCGGATATGTCATTCAAAAATGCAAATGCGAGGTTTGCTATTCTTTTTTATGTTCTCGATTATTATTAGTTATAACTTAGATAAAAATAAAAGAATAATAATAAAAATTTTAAATCTCAAAAAAAAAAAAATTGATGAAATCAATCATCGAATGATGAAAGAATTCTTTCTATTTCGAAATTCTCGCTTTGGCGATAGTATGTCGTACCACGCTACATGGGATTATTGTACAATAAATGACTTAAAAAGGAATGTTGTATATAAATGTCGTGGGAATTAATATAGGATAACAAATTTTTTTCAAAATTAATTTAACTAATTTAAAATTATTAAAAATTTTTTTTTTTTGACGGAATCCAACCCTTCGAGTCGATTGTGAAAGTACCACTATTATAAACTATTCTAAATATGTATTTTTTATTACCAGGTATTGATTTGCCAATTATGGACTGATAATGAAGTTAAATAAAAAATATTAAAAAATAAATATTAAATCTCTTTATTTCCTTTGACACTCACCGATAATGGAAATTTTATAATGAACAAGGAATTAAAGTTCGTGCACGAAAAATTGTGCGTCAAATAACTATGATATGACGTGACACGGATATCAGTAGGTTAAACATACTGTATATATAAGAATGATAATACAAACAAATGTCAAATTCTTGTTCGATTTTCAATTTATCAAATGCTTAAATGATTTCCTATCGCTTGCCAGAGCTATCTACAGATTCATTGGAATCTTCTGCGACTAACGATTCTCATGATACTCTCATAGAAATCGACGATAAAACATCCAACGATATCAAGATTTTCGACGCGCATTCGAGCGTGCTTCGCAAAAGATGCGAATATTTCAAGGTCGCTTTATCAGAAAAATGGGCTACAAAGGTTGATGATAAGTATAGGCTTCGATTGG